TGCTTATGTTGCATTGATAATACTAGTTTTAAGCATTAGAGACGGCAGTGGAATTTATCTTATCAACACATTTAACAGAAAATTATTTTTCTTGCCTCTCTCTCAATAAAGGTGGCAATGGTCGACAAAAGCTCACTGTCATTCCACCAGAAACAGAGGGGTATTCTGTCTAAGCTCTGAAAGCTGTTTCAGGAGGTGGCAAAGGTACTCTTTACATAATGCCACTTCAGGAGACATTAGACACATCTCCTCTGCTGTTATGGGTTGGCTTCGCCCTCCCCTCCCTTCCTTGTGTTCTCAGTTTTTCCCTTCCCTGCTGTCTGTGTGCGCGTGTGTGTGTGTGGGCGTGTCCGGGCCTGGCTCATCTCCACCTCCAGCGCTCCGCACCTGTGGGTCATCATCATCAACCCCTGCAGTTATAAGCTCTGGTTCAACTCCCACACTTTGCCAGTTTGTCAGTTTACCCCCAGTGTTTCTCCTATGTGCGGAGAATTCACAACCTTAGCTGCTGATGCCGGCTGGAATCATGCGGCACTGCGGGGAGTTTTCAGAAAGGGACTAAATGAGGCAATTAAGGATGATTTAGTGTCACGAGATGAGCCTACCAGTTTGAACTCTCTAATCTCACTATCAGGCTCGACAATCGCCTGCGTGAGCAGCAGAGGGAGCGTTCAACCCAGTCCACTTCCGATCCCAACCACGTCACCCAGTTACCTGCTCCCATGTTCCTAGCCACTTCCTCTGTGCCACAATCCCCTTCCAGCTCCTTACCGGAACCCATGCTGCTGGGTCGGGCTGTGCTGACACCAGAGGAACACTTCCGCAGACGAAACCGGGGTGAGTGCCTCTATTGTGGCGTCAAGGGCCACTTTGTTTCCTCGTGCCCAGTTCGACCAAAAGGTCGGACTCCTCAGTAGGCGTGGGCGTACTGGGGGTCAACTCCTTAGCCCCACTACCACACCCGTGGCTGTCTAACCCCGCCACTTTATGCACCCCCTCGATTTCCCTGTCACTCCAAGCCCTTATTGATTCCGGCGCTGAGGGCAATTTCATTGATAGAAATCTGTCCATACAATCTTCCCGCTAGAACCACTCCCTGAGCCCTGTACTGCCTGGGTCGCATCCTAACCCGTGTTACAGAATCATCAAAACCCCTTAGACTAGTTTTGTCTGGAAACAGAGGACATCCTGTTTAATGTTATCTCAGACCCCCATCATTTTAGGGTTTCCCTGGCTCAAACTTCACAATCCCCATATTGACTGGGTCACTGGCAAGATTCTGGGCTGGAGCACTTACTGCTCCTCCTCCTGTCTCCAATCCGTACTACCCCCAGCAGAGGGCGCCACTCCCCCACGAGACTCTAAGTCCCCGGATTTATCTGGAGTTCCCCCTGAATATCATGACCTGGAAACAATATTCAGCAAGGATCTGGTGCTGTCTCTCCCACCTCACCAACCATACGACTGCAAGATCAAACTACTCCCCGGTGCCCCACTCCCATCCAGCAGGCTCTACAATCTTTCTCGCTCTGAGAGGGAGGCCATGGAAACATACATCCTTGACTCCCTTAAGACTGGTCTGATCCGCCCCTCCTCCCATTGGTGCAGGGTTCTTTGTTTCCAAGAAAAGTCTCTTCGGCCCTGTATTGATTACCGTGGCCTCAATAACATAACTGTCAAGAACAAGTATCCTTTGCCACTGATCGACTCTGCTTTTGAACCCCTGCAGCAGGCCAAGGTCTTTTCCAAACTGGATCTTCGCAATGCCTACCACTTGGTGCGTATAAAAGAGGGAGATGAATGGAAGACTGCATTCAACACCCCGCTCGGCTACTTTGAGTATCAGGTAATGCCGTTTAGCTTAACAAATGCACCGGCAGTTTTCCAAAACCTGGTTAATAATCTTTGATTTCTTGAACTGTTTTGTGTTTGTCTACCTGGACAATATATTGAATTTATATTTTTATCCAAGGATATCACTGAGCATGTTTCCCACGTCTGCCAGGTTCTTCAGCAGCTGCTAGAAAACAGGTTATACGTAAAGGCCGAGAAGTGTGAATGCCAGTTCTGTGAGCTTCTTGGGTTACATCATTGGGCAGGGGCAGTTGCAGGCAGATCCAGGCAGTGGTTGGGTGGCCCGTTCCTGCAAACGGCTACAACAATTTCTGGGATTCGCTAACTTCTACTGTAGGTTTATCAGGGACTACAGTAAGGTCGCAGCGTCCCTAACCAGACTAACTTCCACCAAATCACCCTTCTCCTGGCCACCAAAGGCCCAGGTTGCCTTTGACAAATCCCTGTTTACGTCAGCCCCCATCCTAGTACATCCAGATCCCAACAAGCAGTTTATCGTCAAGGTTGATGCATCAGACAGCGGGGTGGGGGCCGTGCTGTCCCAGCACTCTGGCCCCGGTCAGAAGATGCACCCTTGTGCTTTCTTATGTCGTTTAACCCCCGCTGAGAGAAATTACAATGTAGGAGACGGGAACTTCTAGCAGTGAAGCTGGCGTTGGGGTGGCGGCACAGGCTAGAGGGCACTGAACAGCCCCTCATTGTTTGGACAGATCATAAAAACCTCACCTACATTCAGACCGCCAAGAGACTCAACTCTTGCCAGGCATGTTGGGCTTTGTTTGTTGGTCGATTTAACTTTACCTTGACTTACAGACCCATCTCCTGGTACACTAAGCCTGATGCCCTCTCCAGGATTTTTCACTTGCCCACGGATACTCCCAGTCCGACACCATCCTTCTCCCCCCCCCCCCCCCCCCCCCCAGCTGTGTGGTGACGGCCATTTCCTGGGAGATAGAGTCAGTCGTAAGGGAGGCCCAACACTCCCATCCGGACCAGGTAACGGTTCTGCTAACTGTTTGTTTGTCCCTGATCCAGTCTGCTCTCAGGTCCTGCAGTGGATCCACAACTCCCGTTTCACCTGCCACCCCGGTTACCGAAGAACCCTGTCCCTGCTGAAGAGTTTCTGGAAGCCGATGCACGGGAGTTGGGGTCAGCCTGCACAGTCTGTGCCCGGGGAAATTCTTCTCGTCCCTCCTTCTGTGAGCTCCGCCCGTGCCGGGTCGACCGTGGTCTCACATTGCCCTAGACTTCGTCACCGGCCTACCTCCATCCCAAGGTAATGACACCATACTCATCATTGTAGACCGTTTCTCCAAGTCTGTCCACTTTGTCGCTCTACCCAAGTTGCCCACAGCTCATGAAACCGCTGATCTCCTCGTCCAGCATGTGTTCCACCTTCATGGAAATCCCCTGGATATCGTGTCAGAAAGAGGTCCACAGTTCATCTCCAAGGTATGGAGTGAGTTTTGTCAGTCTCCTCTCCATTCCATCCTTAGACTAATGGACAAGCTGACAGGGCAAACCAAGACCTGGAGTCAGCCCTACAATGTGTTGCTGCCCAAAACACCCATTCTTGGAGCTCTCACCTGGCCTGGGTCGACTATACCATAACTCCCTCGTCAGTGCGGCCACGGGCCTGTCACCGTTCAAGGCCTCTCTGGACTACCAACCCCCCCTGTTCCCAGCTCACGAGAGACCTCACAGTGCCATTGGTCCAACACAACCTCCTCCGCTGTTGCAAGGTCAGGAGGGACACTCGGGCTGCCCTCCTCAGGTCTACGGAGAACAACTGCCGCCTGGCAGACCAATATAGGATGCCAGCTCCTGAATAGAAGCAAGGTCAGAAGGTCTGGTTATCTACCAAAAATATTTCCCTCAGGTCAGAGTCCAGAAAGCTGTCACCTCGGTTCATTGGTCCCTTTACAGTTGAAAGAATCTCAAACCCCTCAGCTGTCAGACTCCAACTGCCTCAGTCTATGAAGATTCACCCCACCTTCCATGTATCCCAGTTGAAACCTGTGGTGTCCAGTCCCTTGTGCCCTCCATCCAGGCCCCCTCCTCCCGCCCAGGTCATCAACAATCACCCTGCCTCTTCGGTCCGGCGCCTTTTGGACATGCGGCGCCATGGGCGGGGCCTCCAGTACCTCATGTATTGGGAGGGTTATGGTCCTGAGAGACAGTGGGTTTCCCGTTCCTCCATCCTCGATGCTGGCCTGATTAGGGACTTCCATCGGGCCCACCCTGGTAGGGTTGCCGGGAGGCTCTGATAGGAGGGGACAAGTGACCAGTGCAAAGATGTGATGCCTCTGCAGATGCTTGCAGTATACATTAAGACATGCAAAGGAAGATTTGATTCAGATGAGACTGATGCGAGTGCAAATTGTTATATTGAGATGTGTGATGACAAAACATTAACTGTTTATAAAATGTTTTGTAAACAGCCAGGACACAAAGTTATACATTTTGGATTGTAAAGATGTGCTAAGTTTACCTTGGACTTGCTCTCCACAAAGGACCGCTAATTATCTTTGTTTCAGCTGTTTGTTACATGCAACTTTCTGTAAATTTCAGGTGGTTTGTCCAATCTGCACCAAGGCCTTTCCCAAAAATTAGATCAGTCCATGTTAGTCTGTGTGGAGAGAGGTAACTGTTTCGATGCTGCTTTCTCTATGATCATTTTCTACAATAAACTCCTTGTATTATGCAGTGTATTTTTATTTTCTGTACAGCTTTTGACTGTACAATCCCTGTAGCAAATGAGCTTTGCATGAGTTCAAATCATAACCACTTGTGAACATTATGTTCACCACTTACATACACATCCAAAGTGTCTAGACATCACATTATCTCAAGTTATTTTAACAGGTTGTTCACAGCACATGCTGCAATCATTTCGAATCACATTTCACTTGGTAGCCCTTTGTTACATGGGTCTGATTAACAACAATATTTACAGTTTGTGTGTTTGAGAATTGATTTTAGGACTAATACTTTTTCCTTCCTCTTCCTAAAGCATTGAAGATGTATTGCGCTTTCTTGAACAAGTTGACATCACAACAGAACTTAAATTGTGTGTGGACAGAGAAGCCCTTCCAGACAGAGGCATTGTCCAGTGGCATAGGAAAAAAGCTGCATCTCCTACCAGTAATCTGAAGGTGGTGTAAATAGGGGAGGCAGGTGTTGATACAGGAGCACTAAGGAAAGTTTGACTGGTAAGTTGTCCATTGCCTATTTTGTTCTAGTGTACACCAATAACAATGTCATCTAAAACTGGCTATTGGGGTTGTGCCTAAATATGATTTCAATCAAACCGATTCTTTGAAGGACCTGGAAGCCAGGGTAAAAATCCCAAGTACTCTTTGACAGACTTTGAATAACTTCAGGTTGGTTACACACAAGTACTTTACATAATGTATACAACTTGCTACATTTAATATGTAGTGATAAAGTTATATTAACTGGCTTGAATATGTATTCACACAGAACTGTTGGCGAAATAATGGCAATCAGCCTTGCCCATGGTGGCCCAGCTCCTGCATTTTTGAAAGAGGTGCTACAACTTCCTCTGCATGGGAGAATCTTCCCAGCTCATCAGCAGGGTGAGCCTGTCTAGCACTGTTAAGATAGCATTAGGTCTTCTGTATCTTCAACACTGAACATTTTGAAAATGTGGCAGATGAACGGTCTCTGTGGGCAGATGAATTTGTAAGCTGTGGATACACTTGCCAGATCAAGTTGGAAAATAAAGAGAACATCATTCGGTAAGAGTGTAATTTCTGTAAATGGTGAGGTTTTTTTTTTTTTTTTTTTTTTTTTATCAAAGAGCAATTGTCTTGCACTCAAGACTGATTCCAGTGCTGCAGCAATAGTGCATAGAACTGTATGGTCTGGTGAACCAGATGGCTGCAAAACCCGAAACTTGCCACACCCTGTTTGTTCCTGGGAAGATCACCAGAGTTAGTATTATAACTTTTGTTGCAGACAACCCCTGTTCTGGACTGTATGCTTTATGTATTTCCTATAGTTCACCTTTGAATACTTTACCAAATCTGCATTCGCTCCTTCTTTATAGCCTGATGCAGATTTCATCATTGAAATGTCATTGTTGGTTTGACAGCATGTGTAAGAACTATGTACAAGTCATAACCATGTGACTGAGAATGTTCCAGAGGATTGATGGTTCTCTGAAGTCCTTCCAAGGTTTCTTCATCCAGTGGGCATTCAACAACAACAACAACTGTGTCATTAGAGTCTTCTTGCAGTACAGCACTCTCCCAGTCAATGCCTGGATCATGAAGCTCCTTCCAATTCAGAAACACATAATGCAAAATCCTAATCACTGGGTACTTGAAATGTTGTTTTTGCAATAAATGCACAGACATTATCAAAGGGTGTCTTTTGTTTTCATCTTATAGAAATTCAAATGACTGGTAATTGCAAGTGATCTGTCACACATGCCTCTTTGACACCACTGAACTCAATGCATTATGGGTTGTATGAGAGCCAGCTACATCTACCTAGAAATTGTGACAGACTCGTTGATTCAGATCTTATAAACCATATAATTTTTTTATTTAAGAAGTGTGTGTGGTCTTTGTGCACCAGTCTAATTATAATTTCTAAATTTGTCAGAAGACACTTGTTAAAGTCAACTGTAAAAAAACAAACCAAAAAGTTTTTTATGATTTTGTACCTCAAAGCTCTCCCCCTCACCTAGCGATTGGAGATGTCTTATACTCCACAGCTGTTCAGGAGTGAGATCGGCCTCTGTCCGTAGAGGATGATTATTCCATCCTCCAATAAAGGTTGCCTGGAGTCGAGGAACAAAGATGTAGTTCACACCAAAGAGTAGAACGACATCAAAAATGTCGAGCAGACCATCCTCCTCCAGAGAATGAAGAATATCATGGTACTTGCTGGTAACTGCAACCCAGACGTCACACCGAAGTCTCTCTATTCTGTAATTACATTTAATTCTTTAATTAGTTACTTAAGGATTCTGACTGTAATTTAACAATAAAACATCCAACTGCTGGAACAACCTAGAATAATGCAATCAAATAATAAATTACAAGACCGTCAAAATAACTAACCTCTGATGGTGGATGCGATGAAACTTGCTCTCCCTGTTCCCCGTGTGGCAAACATGAAATGTGCAATGTCCAGGTTTTCAACTCCCTGATCCGCCCTAACCCTAAGATGAAAATACATTTGAATGACATATAGTAAGGTCTACCGTAACTTCAATAGAAAAACATAAACTTGAAAATTTTAATACAGGCAAAATACCTTGAAGGTAAGCCTTGATGCTGAGCTGATCTCAGGAAGAAGGAAAATGCAAATTTAGCTCTGTTATTTGTTGCAGCATCCAATACAAGATCTGCAGTAAAACCATCTGCTTTTGGCTACTGTGTCAAACTCCAGTGATACAGTTTCAGGCATATTATAGCATTGCAGGTATTTCAATTGTATTTATAAAAGCATTGATTCATGAATGGATTAACAGATTAATAAAAACAGAACAACATACTATAGTTCACTAACAGTACAATCTTACTTCAAACTTAATATATACTGTAGTTAAATTAACCCTTCTCATTTTAGTATTGCAGGTTTTTTGTGATGTAACAGGAATTCCATACTGGCAAATGCCATGTTGAAAGCCAAGTTTGCAAGGCTTGGTTAGTGGTTTCCGCACACTGGTGTTGGCAGTATTATCCCAAAATACTGATCATTGACTTATACCTGCCATATGAACGGTGTGTCTATGGAACTGGAGATAAACACAAAATGTGTGCTACACTATGATGGCAAAAGCAATTAAAGCCTTAAGCATCAGTTTATGGAGCTCAACAGTAAAATAAATTAACTACCTTCCTTGAGTAGCCATCCACTTCACCAAAGACCACGATGTTGTACCTCTTCAAGGTGAGAGAATAATTATTGTGTGATTAGTAGGAACGTTAATTTCCTCAGCCACCACACTTTTCATTTACTTATGTATATAAAATAAGTCTTTCTAGTGAATTCTGAATATTATGCCTACATCAGTGTGTGAACCTGGATGTGGTTGATAACGCTAAACATTTCAGTTCTTTGAACATGACTATAAAAGTTTTGTGGAGCTGTTTGCGTATTGCTCTATTTCATTCTTCCTTACTGCCAGACAGAAGGACGATTGGATTGCTATAGTGAATTTAGAAGGGTCGTTTGCAATTTTGAAGAGTAATGTTCAAAACTAGGATAGATCTGTGGTTGGTGACTCCAGAAGTAACAAATGCTGTACCAGATGTTTCAATATATGCTGCTCCCTTAACAGATCATTGTGTAATTGAAATAAACCTGAAACCCAAAAGTAATTATAAAAGTAGGAAAAATTATTGTAAGTTTAATGCAGACCTGTTAAATGATGAAGCATATGTTGAAGAAGTGAAGGGGAAATTTCTCATTTCTCATTTATTTATTTAAGGACAGTGCACATTAATCAACATTTCTGTAAATGTGCCAGTGTTAGCCAGCAGGCTAATTTTCAACTGTAGTCCATAGGCAAGATGTTATACTAGGCACATAATGGCTTAAAAAAACAATTAAGAGTGATGTGAAGATAGATACGTATTGGAGAAAATGGGAATATTATAAATATAAGGTTAGGTGTCTGTCCCTTAAGTATAGTAAAACTAGGAGTCAGCAGCTAAGAGAAAGTGAATTTATACTGGATCATGAAATGAATGATGTTTGTAGGAAAAAAAATAGTTAAGGCCAAGTTATTAAGTTTACAAGCCAGGTTAAATCATTTCAAGGTACTTATGTCTGATCCAGAGCAAAATGGAGAGAACAGGGGGAAAGGAATACCTCCTATTTTTTTGGACTTCAAAGGAGGAGACGGGAGAGAATTTAAATAAATGTCTTGATGGTGAATAATACAGAATTCTCTGACACAAAAGCAATTTCTGAAGAAATATGTAAATTATTCTCTAAGTTATACTCTTCATCCTATTCAGAGGAACATTCATTGTTATTTGTTGAAAGCATTAAGCAATATATTCAGTTGTGGTGGCAGCCCGCCTGTCCGTGAGTGTCCTGTTTATTTCTCCTTTTTTCCCTACCATTCTGTTTTCCCCAGTGTTTTGCCTTCCTCTCTGTGTCTCCTCCACTCCCCTGCATCTGCTCTCTCCTCTCCTGAGCCCAGCTGACAGTCCACACCTGCACCTCATCAGCCACCTCCTGCCTGCCACACCTGCCAGCAATCAACTCCATCTCTGCCAGTATTTCAACCCCGGTTCTCCACACAATCTCCGCTTGATCGTCGTTGCGCCAACCCTGGTGCTACTGCTCCACTCAAGCCTCTGAGAAATCCGCAGAATCTCTATTTCCCTGCTCTCTTTTTTGCCTGTGTCTTACCCTGTCTGCTCTTCCCCAGGTTCACTCACCTCCGTCGCGTCAGCTGGGCTCGTCTACCTGCCCTCTCCCCTCGGGCGTCCTCCAGGCACCTCCTCGCCACTCTGCCTGCCGTCTCACTCCTTCTCCCATTCCTCCGGTCAGATTTTAAACAAAGATGTAACTCTGCAAATGTCAACAGGCAAATCCCTGGGTCAAGATAGTTTAACCTCAAAATTCTATACATTTTTCTAGGAAGAGATAAAAGAATTTAGTGTCCTAAAGGAATGTATTGAAAACAACTATTTAATGACGACCATGAAATAAGATATTATTACTTTGTTACCCAAATCTGGGAAGGACAACAGATATATTGACAACCTTTAGGCCGTTAACTTTATTAAATGTGGATTACAAATATTTACATAGATTTTTGCTAACTGGTTGAAAGAGGGCATGGGACAGATGATTAGTGAAACTCAGTCAGGGTTTCTTAAAGATAGATCTATACACCACATTAGGCTGGTTCTTGATTTACTAGATTATAAGGACAATGGTTTCATATTATTTTTAGGTTGTTGGGGGTTTTTTTTTTTTTTTTTTTTTTTTTTTTAAACAAGGCCTCCGACTCAGTTGAACATCCCTTTATAATGAGAACTTTAGAGCATTTTGGGTCTGTGACAGAATTTATTAAGGTAGTCAAGCTGTCCAAATTTCATGAGCAGGTCCTCGTTTATTGGAAAATGATTTATAAACACAACTTCACTCCACATAGTAGTCCCATATGGAATAATAGGTGTATTTGGTGAAAGGAAAATCTTTGTTATTGTGAGTGGGTAGAGAGGGGTGTCTGGTCTAGGCTATTTTACATTTGATGGATTCAAGTGGGAATATTTTTGGAGTGCAGTGTATTCATTAATACATTTAATGTGACATGTACAAAGAAACAATTTTCAATGGTTATTAAGGCAATTCCACAGGCAATGGTGAACTTGGTTAGGTTGAACCACAGATGCTGTCACTTAATATAGGTAAACTGGACTTTAAGGAGAGAATATGTGCAAACAAAATTATAAGCGGTGTCCTTACCTCTGAACTTTTCCCTTTACCATTAAAAAGGAAAAATATATTAAGATCATTCTAAAGAAATTATAAGTAGATTAAGAACTAGATACCTCACACTTCCTATCTCACCAAAAGCTAAAGAACCTCATTTTAAAATATTAAATGATCCTTTTAACCTGTTTATTAAACAAAGATTTAATATTGATAAGAATAACTGTACTTTCTGTGATGTGGATATAGAAACTTTAGAGCATTTTTTGCTTGTAATTATATAAAATCCTTCTGGGTTTTGGTTCAAAAATGGATATCTGAAAAGGACTCTCAAGCACCAGTGCTAGAGTTTTGTGATATTAGATTTGGAGTTATATTGAAGGATAAAAAAAAAAAGACTTGATGTATAACAGTTTAATTATTTTAGCTAAGCTGTTTATACATAAGTGTAGATTTATGAAGGTAAGACCGCTGTTTTTGTTTTTTATCAGAATCAACTTTATTTCCAGGTATGTATCAGGTACATACAAAGAATTTGATTCTGGATTGTGCATTGCTTGCGATGTGCTTACTTATACAAAATCACAATTATAAAAATAAAATCAGACACAGACTTCAGTGTAGACAACACAACTATACACTATGAACAAAAACAATATAGACATTGACAAATAGTGCAGTGAGCAGAGTGCAAAGGATGCTGGAGTATGTACATGTCGGAGGTGGATGTGATCTACAGGTACATAATACATGTACACAGTGCAATGACGCATGGTGCAAAGGATGCTGGAATAAATAAGTATAAAGTATTAGTATTTTGTGCAGGAGTTATGACTTGAGTTAGGTGGATATGGTATACAGTATCTACAATATAACTGTATGAACAGCACTGAAATAGAGAATGGTGAATAAATAAGTGGTAGCCAGTAAACAGGTGGCTGATTAGAGACAGAACTTTATGAAGAAGTTAATTCTTTATAAGAAAGCTTTGAAAGATATAAAAACAAGCCTTGGATGTTTTCAAAATTATACACATTTTGATAACTGATTAGACCTTTTTTATTTTAGTTTTCTTATGAATTTTTATATATATTTGGTTGGGCATGTATTGTTGTATGTGTTTACAATGCTTTGACATTGGAGGTAAAAATAAGGGGGGGGGGGGAGATGGTGCTTAAACACACTGAACACAAGGATTTAGACAGATGTAACTAAGATACAGTAGGTGGCGATAATGCTCCATCTGGTTGCAAGTCCCATGTTTGTTTGTTTTTATTTTATTTTTTTATTGATCCATGGTTCAATACAGTAACAGAAATGCAAAATATACAGACCTTCAGTTACATTTTTATATTGCCAGAAGCTCAAATTAAGTTCAGTTCTTTAATATTAACACATTTTATTGCTTTATTAAGAGTTCTATTGAGGTGCAGTAGTGTTTCAGTTCAACTGTAAATCGATTGAATTAAGGTTTGGATTCAGTCCATTTTGACTTGTAGATATTGAATTTTCCAAGTATGATGAGGAGTTGCACCATGCAGTTAATATTGTCTGGACCATGTAGTACAAAATATAACATGACATCAAATACATTAATCAGAATACTCTTACCGGTTTTTCTGTTAATAAAATGTTCCAAATCTTTCCAAAATACATTTGTATGTTCACAGTGGTAAAAAAGATGAAATATAGTTTCTCTTTCTAAATTGCAAAAATCAGTTATAATCAATGTTAAGTTTAAATCTTTGCAACACTTCTTTGGAAGGGTAAATACGATGCAAAATCTTGAAGTTCACTGTTACCTCATTATTAATACAATATTTGTTAAAAATAGTACATGCCTTTTCCCACTGTAAATCACTCACAATAGACGACCAAAAGAACTTTGCTGCAGAGAGTGTCGCATAGTCCAAAACATTTCTTATGTTTGTTACTGCATGACTTTTTCTCAATATTAAGTTCTTCTATTAAAAAAGTATTAGAAACAATGGTTTTGTCTGTGAAATAAACATTTCTCAAAAATTGAAGAGGACCTGCAGGAATAGCATCAAAGACAATTGCATATTCTCTGGGTGTGATTGGAATCTTGAACTTTTGAAGGAATTCTGAATATGACAGTAACAAACCATTCTTATTATTTTTATTCTTATTTGTCCAACTAGTAAAATTCCCTTGTCAAACCATGAGCGATAAATCAGTGATTTATTTTTGTACAAGATGTTTCTATTATTCCAAATAAAGTATCTGAGGACTGAAATTATGATTATATACTAGTGTCCAAGCTAAAAGGGCCTGCTTGTGGAAGTTAGCTAATCTAAACGGTATTTTGTCAACAGAACAGTTACACTTTAAAAGGAAATCTATAGCACCAGTAGATTTAAACAAGTATGCAGGAAATTATAATACATTCAACAATTTCAGGTAAAGATCTCCTCAACGCAAGAGTTTTTAAAGTCATCTGTTATTTTAGTTGCATTCAATGAGATTTTATGTAAGAGAGTTAATGTCAGATGTTGGAGGGGTTGAAGAAAACAATTTCTGATAAATCAGAGCTACATGTTGAGAAATCCTTCGAGGCTCTTTTGTTTCTACTCCATTAATTATCAACTTATTTATTGTAGCAAATTCAGCATTTCTTTTTTCTAATCCAAAAAAGTATCCGACCGACCGGTCTCGAACGCGGCATACGGTCGGTAGACGTGGCAACACATGACGTCATCAAAGTGGGTCGATGGTTTTATTCATGGTTTGCGGATCCGTACTGAGCTGGTCTAGCTAGCAGGTGAGTAGATAAGCTATTCGTTCTTAAATCTCAGTGAAAGGACACACACACACACACCATCCTCTCATGCTTATCCCCTGGAAAAGTCGATAAACTGCATGTCGCGTTTTCTTTTGCTAAGTTACAGCTGAGTGTGTTTGTACACGTGTAACTTGCAGCTGAGGTAAAAGTGCTGCGTTTGGTTTTAAAGGAAGCTAACACTAAAATAAATAACTCCATTTTATTGTTGTCGCTTATTAACAAAACACATACATGGCGAAGTGTTAATTAAAGAAATCCAATCATTCCTTCTAACTAAACGTGTCATAACCAATACAATTCCAAGTAAAGCTGTATGTGTCGTCCCTTACAAGATCAAATCCTTTTAGACTAAAGCTTGAGTCTGCTTAGCAGAACAAGTTAGTTACATTTTAAACAGGCAGCAGTAAGCGACATGACAGATGTCTGTGGAATATGTGTGTTCGGCATGGTGTGATGGAAGCCCAGCAGTTCCTCCTTGCTGTGTTAAAGACTAGCCCGAGTCAACCCAACCGCACTTGGATATTTATGCTAGTTAGGGTCAGAGCACGAACCGTGCGAGGTCCCTATTGAAACTGAAGGGATTATTATGCGAATTTTCTCCTCGCAACGCTTTTCTCGCGTGAGTACATTCGTGTGTTGGAGTGTTCACACCAAGCGGGAAGCTTCCGGTCTACAATATGAAGTGAATGCGGAAGTCCCTGAAACCTGCATTCTATTGAAAATCCAGCAGGAGGCGACTCTTCTGGTTGCAAAAAGAAGTCCGGCTCCATTAGAAATAATGGTAAAATGTTTCTACTTCTCAGCTGAATAATTACCCCAGTAAACACTTTCCTGGTGAGTTTATGGTCTCAGTCGCTAGTTTCAAGTCTTCTTCAATACAAAATGATGTTCATTTAGTAAATTATGGTCCCATTTATTTTAAAATAGACCAAAAAGTATGTTTCAGGGTGGGATTATCTATGATTGACAAGTTGTTGCCATGGCGACCTGTCAGTCAGGCTAGAGTGACTCGTACCCTCGGCGTTGTGTAAATTTAACCAGCGGCGTTGAAAAAGCTTATTAGGAGTTGGCTGTTCACTGTCTCTAGTGAGTACATTTACTTTTAAGACTGCTGTTCGCTAAATAAAGTTCTCAGCCCTGTTAAAATGACAGTTAACGTGAATTACAGATGCACCTAGCTAAGCAAGCTAGCTAGCTCCGCACACGGCCATTAGCTCCTCCATATCGTCACTCCCGGCACTTCTTGGTTGCAAACACTCAACATGGCTGCGCCCTATCGGCCAAACTCGAGGCTTCAAAATGGCAGTCCACAAACCAACGGGTGACATCACGATGACTACGTCCATTTCTTATATACAGTCTATGGTTCACACACAACGCGAGAAGGCGATTTTAATGCGATAACGTGAATAAACACAACTCGCCTTTATTACAGTTGTATGAACCCAAAGTAAACATTTTGCTGTGATTTAAATAGTAATAAACGGATTAAACTGATGCCGAAATAACTACAACATGAAGCAGATCTGAATGGAGTTCGGATCGATCAGGGCTATGCTATGCTAACTTGGTCACAGTAAAGTACAACGACAGCTGGAATAAAGTTACAGACACATTTTTTCTGTACTCACCACGTAGTTCAACCTCCTCGCTTTCTTTTCTCCAAGTAATGTCCAGTTTTGTCAGGTTTTTATATAAATATGAAGATGAAGCTAGCTGCTGAGAAGCTCCATTGAAGATAAATCAACTTTGTAATCCCAAAAACTAAAGTAAAAAGATAAAAAAAGCAGTTAACTCTGAGCTCTTCCCGCGAGTAAACGGTGTAGTTGTCAGAGCATAATCCAGACCGACTACGGGTGTTTATTTGTCCAAAGGTTGCAGCGCTGCTCCCTGCTCCTCTCCCCCAAGTTTAGCAACTCTCAGCCTGCCAGCAGATCGCCCGCTCTGCCTGGCCCACTCCACTCCTCTTGCACTGAAGCCATCGGTGACGTACGGACAATCTCAACACTGATAGGCTATCTTGTGATTTTCTCGCTTGAGTTGAAAATATTTAAATTGCGCGAATTCCTTTGCGCTGGCTTCGCGTCGCCGGCCCAACTGTACTTTGCAGCTGCAGCGGTAGCAGTCACAGCTGACAGCTCTCACACGTATTTACTTTAGTAAATACCTATTCTAGTTTTTCTTTTCTTTTTCTGCAAAGTAACCTCAATTTTGGGGGCCTAAACATACTCGAAAACTCACCAAACTTTGCACAAAATTCAGACGTGGCGAAACATTTCGTGTTTTATGGGTTTCGCACATGGGCGTGGCAAAATGGCTTGCTAGTGCCCCCTACAGAGCAGCCCCCGGACTAAGTTTCACCTATGTGTACGAAATTTCTGTGGTACGTGTATCATGTCCAGACCCACCAGGGCTCGACAACAATGGTGGCCTGATGGCCAGTAAAAAGTAACGTCAGAAATGTTGAACTAGCAACTCACTGGCCCGATCGTGTATTTAAAAAAAAAATTTAAACTCAACATCCTGCAGCGTTTTTGCAGCTCTTGGCGCGCACTTTTATCCAATCCAGATTTGTAGTTACATGACGAGTGGTTGTAAAAAGTTATTTCTCTAACGTTAATCTCAATCAAGCGGCAACCTCTGGGTCTGACAACCATGCAGACGGAACTTAAAACTGCATTCTCTATAACCGCCGTGGCTTGGTTAAACCACTTAAAATACGTTGTTTGAAAATGAAATTTTAGTAATAAGTAAAAAATATCCTCATAAAGATAACAACTACTTTGATGTGCTGTTTTAAGCTATTTGAATTTTTGATCAGTTGAAAACCTTATTTGCCACTTGCCCGGTATAATCTGGGCCGAAGTGTAGGAATAAGGCAGAGAAGATGATGGAAGAGAGTGGGATTGAGACTACACCTCCTGCCAGCCCTACACCTCCTCTGACTGTGGCTGCCACTGTCACAGACCTGCCAATGACAACAGGTAAGACATGGCCTAATAAGTGTTGCTATTTGAGCAGACCAAGTTCCCTGCTTCAGTGAACTTTCAATCTTCTTAAGTCAAGACCACCTTTTTAGGCTCTCTTTGTTACAGTTCATTCCAGTACGCTATGAAAGCAAGGTCGTGGAGAGAAAAATGTCAGATTGGGAATTTAGAGTTCAAAGTTACATTATTATTATTAGGGCTGAACAAGAATTGCAATTTTTTTTTAACCAATACTGTGATTGCGATTTAATATGTAATAAATTTTTAAGCTCTTTACCTTCTGTACGGACAAGTAATAAATCAGTGTGAAGTATGACCAACACATTATTAGATTAAACATGCAATTCAGTTTTATTAACAACAGTTATCTCATAGCGCTTTTCATAAAAGAGCAGCTCTAGACCGTACTCTATGATGCTATTTACAGAAGCCCAACAGTTCCCACCAAGAGCAGCACTAAGCGACAGAGGCAAGGAAAAACTTCCTTTTAAGAGGCAGAAACCTCGAGCAGAACCATGGCTCAGGGTGGCTCGACCGGTTGGGGTGAAGGAGAGAGAGAAAAAGAGAGGGATGGAAGGAGAGAGAGGGAGAGAGAGAAAGAGAGGGATGGAAGGAGAGAGAGGGAGAGAGAGAAAAAGAGAGGGATGGAAGGAGAGAGGGAGAGAGAGAAAAAGAGAGGGATGGAAGCAGAGAGAGGGAGAGAGAGAAAAAGAGAGGGATGGAAGGAGAGAGAGGGAGAGAGAGAAAAAGAGAGGGATGGAAGGAGAGAGAGGGAGAGAGAGAAAAAGAGAGGGATGGAAGGAGAGAGAGGGGAGGGAGGCAGCCTACACAATATACACACGCAGAGGTACCGACAGTAAAGGTGATGATGCTATAGACTAAATGGAAAAATGGTACAGATATTTATTGTAGTGTCAATGATAACAATCATAATGTTAATGATTATAATAACAATAGGACCAACTCATGCCCCCCCCCCCCCCCCCCCAAAAGTCCACTGTGTTCTGATTGGCCAAGAACCTGAAGCAGGATGATTATGCCGCTCAGCGGTAGAGACAAACTAAGCATAGGAGTTGCCAGTTGTTATTGAGGCTGCAGGCAAATTACCTTATATGGAAAACCAGCTCTGGCATCATTAAGACATCATTAAGGGCCCGTGTCCACCAAAGTGTTTTTTACCAGCTGAAAACACCACCTGCTCTTCTGAAAACGCCTAGCTGGGAGCGCTACAGTGCGTTTTGAAGGCGCAGTGTTTTTTTTTCGAGACGCTGTGGTTGCTATGATACACAATGTCTGTGGAGGTGATGTGCTGCAAGTAGGGTAGGCTACTTAATTTTACTGAATGTAAAAATGTCACCACAAAGTATGTAGGCCTACTTGCTCTGGCCTTTGCTCTGTATGAAGAGAAGGCTGAAACATACATACATCCACACGTGGATTCCTGAGATTTTGCGGGTGAGGAAACACCTCAGCGAGTAGGCACATCGTCTCGTTGAAGATTGGGTGTGGTATTTGTCCTGCCCCTCCTGCACTGTGATTGGACAGCTGGGTAAAAAGTGACAGTGACGAGCGCAGCGTTTTTCCCAAAGTTGAACATTTTTCAACTCTCTGCGACCAGAAAAAAGCGATCAGCGCCTCGTCACGCTGCTGGCGTTTTTACCAGCTCGTGAAAACATGGCGCTCCCATTGGAATGAATTGAAAAAAATTTAAGTTGTATCAGCAAAATGACCTGACCAGCAGCAGCAGAAGGCATTTGTGAACGATGTGATATGTTTTTTGTGTGGATAAAGTTAAAAAAAAGAGTGAGCTCTTCTGCGAGTTAAACTGGTACGTTCTGCTCTGCTCCAGAAATTTTGACACAAATTTATAATGGCTTCCAATGGAGGACTTGGCTGTCACTCTTGTCCTTTGGAAGGGCGCTGTGCCAAATCTATAAGTCCGAGGGATTTAAAAAGCCCATGTGAGGAACCACAACAAAATTTACTACGTTTCTGGTGTAAAATTATGCATGAAGAGTTACAATTGTGGTCAAGCCAGCGAGCTAAAGAGAAAATTTTAAGACTATGTCACCCACTCTAATTCACGTAATACACACCCATTATAAACTCAGAAAAGAGCTCAAAAAGCAGAAAACTTGGGCAGCGACCGTGAACAAACCATAAAATATATCAAAACACTGAATACATCATTAATAGATTAACTTCTTGTGACCAATTTACAGTTTAAATCAAGTCTGTAGCAGAAAGTCTGCTGAATTGGTGAGCTCTCAAAGTGGAGTATTTATGAGGAGGATTTCGACAGTCTCTCCATTCACCTGGAAAACCTTGAATATTCTGGAAAGTATTCAAGGTATCGATGACAAAAGTAATGGCACCCCATTCCCATTGAGCCGGACAACTTGGTCAAAAGCTGTGGGACTAGTTACGGTCCAAAAAAACGTGACCGAAGAATAATGCCAAACTAGAAAAAGCAATTTCTGAAGAAATTGCGGTGTGAATGCTGTCTGAAATGCTGTGAAATGTATGAAAAATGTGCAACGAAGGTTAAAGTCAAGGGCAACTGGACTTGGTTGAAGATACTGGAAGACATTTCGTCCCTCATCCAAAGGACTACTTCAGTTCTGACTGACTGGCAGGGAAACTCATTTAACCTCAGTGGGGTCATCGATACTGCTGGTTCGTTAGTGTTCCTGGTTGCTGTAATGACAGTCGTTACAGTCGTTAAGACTACCTGTGGCCAAGACTGAATGACCATTGTTGGTATCTTCACCTGAGGCCAAGACTGAACGACCATCGTTGGTATCTTCACCTGAGGCCAATAGTTTACGTTTGTTGAGTTTCCTGGGAAGTGATGAAAGGACAGCATTGTAAGTGGGGGATAAGTGGTGGTGTAGACCCCCTCCCCTGTTCAATGACGGCTTCTCAACCCTGGTGTGGATGGCTTCCTTGACACCTCTTTCAAACCATCCATCTTCTCTGTCTAAAATGTGCACCTGGTGGTCCTCAAATGAGTGTCCTCTGTCCTTCAGATGTAAGTAGACTGCAGAGTCTTGACCTGAGGAGTTGGCCCTTCTGTGTTGAGCCATGCGTTTGTGTAGTGGTTGTTTAGTCTCCCCAATATACAGGTCTGTGCATTCCTCACTGCATTGGACCGCATACACTAGACTGCTTTTCTTGTGTTTGGGTGTGCGGTCTTTGGGGTGTACCAGCATCTGTCTTAGTTTGTTCTTGGGTTTGTCCAGTTGCCCTGGACTTTAACCTTCGTTGGATAACTATGACCTGGATGACTGAGAATCTTCATAGACATATAAAAGATGTGGAAGGTTTTGTTGAAAAGCTGATGCTAACTTGCACTACTGTCTTGAAACAAGTTGAATAGTACAAAGGTTTGAAAGATGTGCAATGTTTAAAGGATTTTTGAAAGGCCTGCGCTAAACTGAATTGCTGATTTAAACAAATTTGAATAGTACTGTGAATTGAACTATGATACACCTGCAGGCATGCTCAGCTGGGAGAACTTGTCCAGCAGCAGAGCTGGAATAATGTTATTGAAGGCGGAGTTGTTGAAGTACAAATGCAATAACAAGCTGGAAGTTACTGTATATTGTTACACTGTCAAACCTGCTGAGAGGTAAATCATTCAAGGTTTGGAAGAATTTATAGCTGAAAGATTTGAAAATTTAAATGAATGTAAGAAAGTCACTTAAAAAAACTTTTCCAAGGAGTATGAAGACGTGGAAAAGGTTGAATTGGTCTAATAAGTATGAATGAGGTGTAAAAGTTGAATACTGCCTATTATCAATAAAAACTTTTGAGCATTTTAAGGTTCAAGAAAGCTCAAGAAGCTGGGTGTCACAACCTGCAGTGAAAGGTCCTGTGTGTTTGGGCTTTTATTTTGAAACATTAGGTCCATCCCTGCTTTGGTGTTGACATCTTGTCACCATAGGGGGATTTTATCTTGTAAAATCAGCCTCATCCTGAATTCACTGTTTAGATGCATTAACTTAAGAATCTTGGGACTTTAATTTGCTAGAAATTGGGTCCCGAGAGCTATTGAGAAGCCTTTCTCAACCTGACTAAGATTACTATAACAAGGCTTTTATTTTATAACTTGTGTGTGTGTGTGCACATGTGTTTGTTTGCACCGGTTTATGTCTCTCTGTGTGAATCAGTAGTAGTAGTAGTAGTAGTGGCTGTAGAAGCAGTACTCTGGATGCAGCACAGTGAATTTCATTCAAGAAATGGCTTAAAGTTTGTCCGCCAATTAGAACACAGGACCGTGTGAGAGAGAGAGAGAAAAATAGAAAATATTCTGCAACATCATTAATAAACGACAATTAAATATCGTTAATCACAATTATTTGTAAAACAGTAAATCATTAACTAAAATTGGGACAGCCCTGGCGACGTAGTGAAAGCAGAGCAGCAGCAGCTTCAGTCCTCTGTCACTGTCACACAGGATGCGTTCAGGCACAGTCCTGACGTGTAGGTCACCTGCATTTTGTCCAATACACAGTTTAATTACGGAGTAGCAGGTCAAATATTCCATTACTGACTAAAAATGAGCTTATCACAGATATATCTGCATTGGTGTATATGTTATAATATACAACGAGATGCTGCAGTGCAGTCAGAGGTGCATCTCGCAGGAAGTCCATTTATACCGTAGTTCTTCAAGAATCTTACCAAAAATGTCTGTTCATGTTATGTGGTTATGTAATCATTATTCAATTGAACAGTAATTGCAATGTGTTTCAAATATCTAGCTTTGGTTGACCTACCCTGTGACCTTCACAAGCAATAGTTTAACAAATTAAACTCTTGTATGACTTGAAATAATGTGAGTTGTTATTATAATGATAGATTCTGTTGATAAGAACCCAGTGTCATAATTTCACATCAGTAGTGTTCAGCTGTTGTGAGTAAAAAGAAAAGACTGAGCAAAGCAGGAGCTGAAGAGCTGGAAGCTGGAGCTGTTCTCTCCTGTAGAGCTGGACACAGCAAATCACATCTGGAGGGTTCTGCAATCAGCTCCTGTGGTACCTGTAGAGACAACAGTGGAAAGACAGGGTTAAACAGCTTCTTCCAGAGTGCCATAAAGCTACTGAACTCTGAGATCACCTCAGCATGAAAACCTCTCATGGCATGTAACAGTAATAAGGAGTGGCAATGTGAAATACACTGTTTACTAATATGTGCAATATACGGATTGCTGCTAGACACTGGATAATAATAATACATGCTGCTAGACACCTTTTGACTAAAGACAGATCTTATTGAACTTTTATTATAAGAATTTTATTGTATAATTCTTATTGAACTGTACTACCTTTTTAGGCAAATTCTAATCCACCAAATAAACTCGGAGGCGGCTCTCACACCTAATTGCTCACCTTAACTAAACTAACTTTATTAATCTCGGGAGCATCGCGCTAGTTACAGCCCAGCTACCTGTCTGCAGGCATAACGCTCATTATATACTGACAAAAAAGGTGGATGCAAATCTCTGCAGGTAGCCTACAACATCGTTTCTGCCGAATAATGCATCCACCTCTTAAGCTCCTTATCAGAAACGTCGCTGATCAGTTATCACTTCAGATTGTTTGCTGGATAACAGGGAATGCTACATATACTAAGTGTAATAACTTATTGATGACTCTAAACGTCCTTCAATATGTACTTCCAATCAATCAATCATCCCTTCTGATGAACCACAAAGAATAGTATAACGTTATAGTTTATAAAAAAGTACACTTGCAGGTGCATGGCTCTCCTCGGCGAGCAGGCAGAACTCTGCAGCCGCTCCCCCCTCGGCTCTCTGCCTTTAAACTCTTTCGTGTCCCTCCGGTTCAGGTGAAGCCACTTATAATAGTATCTGACTAGTATCTAACTGAACAGTGACTGTTACACTATGAAGCTAAACCTAACATTGCCCGTTTAAAAAAATGTACTGTTAACGTCAATTAACTGAGAGCTGAGCCAGAGATGTTTGGCTGAGCCTTTACTTTCCAACTTCACATGCCTTTTCTTCAAAGCATTACCACCCTAATGTCTAACACTAAGGTTAATCTAATACATTTTGGCTTCTCTCTTCTTGCTGAGTTGTCTTTGACTCATTAAAAGCTGCGGTTAGAACACACTTACTCCTGTTAACTTAGCATAGTTAGCAACTTGGGGCTGCTTGTATCTGGCTAATTAGCATAATGAGCTAAGCTAACAAGCTATATGCTGACAGCGATACCTGTTGCATACAACACATAAATAAAATACAGGAATTTCATACAGGAACTGTAACACGTCCTCTCCGCAGTAAACTGCACAGTTTGCCATTCTGCATGTAGATATGTCAAAGGCTCAAACAGGCTGAACCTCAGAGCTCCGTGTTGTAGCTGAGCTGAGCTAACAAACCGCAGTCACTTGGCTAGGAGTGACAGCGACCGGATTCACCAGTCAATCAAAGCGGTCACACCCCTAATAATGCATAACTTTATGGCTTAATATAATTTAAACAGGTGAGTTAAAGAAAATTCACCCCCCCCTCACAGTTATCACGAAGGGCTAAATTAGAAATATACACTAAGACCATTTTTTGAACCAGGCTGTAAACATGTTTTATTCTGCTATAAATTTGGGCATTTTAACATGGGGGTCAATAGAGATTGACACACTTTTGCAACCAGCCTCAAGTGGCCACTCGATTAACTGGAGTTTAAGTTACTTCCTGACTGGTATCGGAAGTGAGAGCTGGATGTTGCCGCTTGGGTTTAACATTAGTTCTTTGTGTTTCAGGTCTGCCCAGCACTCTGTCCCCCCCAGGCAGCAGCTCCATCGGTTCCCCCTCAGTCTCTACCACTCTCCCTGCTGTGCCCTCCTTCCCTGCGATCAGTGGCCCTCTGGCCACACCCCCTTCCCTCTCCTCCCATCTCGCCTCCCCCTTCACCAGCAGTTCTCCTTTCCCTCCTTCTACCTACCCCTCTTTGCCTACTCAGGCATTCCCTATTAGACCACCTCCCCCCTCAGTTCCTGGCATGTCGGCCCCTCCTGTAGGCCCGCCCATGTCCAGCTTTTCCATGAGTGCAGGATATGACATTACACGGGGTCACGCCGGCAGAACGCCACAGACACCACTTATGCCAACATTCTCCAGTCCTCCCGCCATGCCAGGTAAAAGTCACTCTTGTCTTCTTCTTTAATATACTATTTACATGGTCAACATGTGGAACCAGGATTCTTTTTTTCAGGAGTGTTTCATAAAGCAAAATTACATGTTAAGTCAGGCTTCCTAAAAAAGTCATGTCATGTTGACAGAACACAGGGTTTCCTCCAAAGTTCCTCCTGGCAGCCCCCCAGCACTGATGCACTGTGAGCAAAAGTCAAATAAGCACACAATCATATTTATTTGTTTAACATAGGTAAGGCTGCAGTTGCAAAGTTAGCTTAGACCTTTCATTTGATTTAAGGTATCCTAACCCACAAATGTGCTTAAAATACACAAGGGAAAAAATATATATGTATAATATATACGGTCTGTATTTAGACTATTTGAATATTTAAATTAAAGCTAATAAAGAACTTTAGAAATTATTAGGGCTGCACGATTTGGAGAAAGTCATGATGTGATTATTGTGGACAATATTGCAAATTCGATTATAATAGAACAAATGGTACTATGAGACCTTGCTTGATTATCAAGAATACTGACATTTTTAAATGTATTTCCGAACTTGAACAAAGTTAAACTATAAAGAAATTAATAACTGCAACTAGTAAAACAGACAAACAGAACAAGGGGAGCGTGTTGATCTATGGAAGAGGAGGCTAGAAGAAGCAAATGGCATCCTGACGCTGGCTAAATCTAGATCTGTCCCCTGCAGAGGCTCTATCTACAACCTGGAGGAGGAACTAGTATACATGAGTGCATTAGTATAATATTATAACATTAAATAAAGCTCTAATAACTGCTCTGGAGTTATCAATGCAAGAATCACACAGGTGACGTGTCAAATATCTCACAAAGATTGGTTGAGGTGTCAGTTAGGTATTCAATTCAAAGTGGCTGACTTCCAGTTGGGTTTACGCTATAACTGTCCAAACAGCTTCCTGTTTAATTGCGAATAATTACTCACCAAGGCAACAGCATTTGACAAGAACTTTGAGATAGATGTGGTCAACTTGCTGTGAGGAGCCTAAATGCGTCACTATGGATGTTTTTGTGGAAATGAAGTTTGAAATATTTCCTTTCCAGATGCCAGTAAGTGGCGCTATTTGTATAACTGGATATGGACAGAGAAGCGAGCTTGTGACAGGGAGGTCGTCAGTTCAATCCCTAGACCAGCAGGATAAAATCTGGGTGTGGAAAGCAGTGCTTGCCCTCCCTCATTTACCACCACTGAGGTGCCCTTGAGCAAGGCCCATGACCCCAACTGCTCCAGTGGAGCTGCTTAGTGGCCAGCAGACCAGGCTGCGGTTGTTACTGGGCAGCTTCCAGGTGTGAATGAGCAACAGTGTGAATGTGATCAGGGCCTTCCTGAAAAAAAGAGAGGCTTCCTCTCAGTGAAGTTCCCCTGAATATATAAGGGCTAAAACAAAAACAAAACAAACAAACATGTAATTCTTTAATGTGAATATTGGGACATATCTGACCATCTCTAGTCCATTTACATGCTACTTCCTTTTACATGGCGAAACATCAATTCAGCACCACACCATGGATCAATCAAAAAAGGCTTTGCAATTTAACATCGCAAGATTCTTAAGATGTGGCGCTGCAGAGCACTTGGCGTTACGACTACAGATGAATATTGGCATGTAAATGTGTTCGGGGCGGGACAGTGGTACAGATTTGAGCATGTACAGTTAATTTACGACGACTTCCTCTTTCATGGCGAAACATGGAACTTCGCTGCCCAGCCATGGATACGCTATTGAAAGAAAACTCATGGGCTTTACAACATGACATCATTAATGTGTTAAGAGTTTTCTGAGATAGTTTTGAAGTAGATATAGCCAACCTGCAAGAAGTGGTTCATCAGAGCATAAACATAATCACTTCCTGTTGCAAGTAGGTGGTACTGTGATTATGGGTGAATTTTGGCTTGTAGATGTGTTCGGTGCGGGACTCCTGTCAAACATTTAAAGTTTTTAGCTCCGTGTTGGATCAAACGCCACCAAAATAATTCACCCAAGAACCCAATACCAGCAGAATGATTTTTAGGATTTTATCATAAAATGCTTTTACAACAGTAAAAATGTTTAAAGTCTAAAGTGACATCTGTAAAAATATATATATATATATATGTATAATTTTACTTAAGAGTGGTCGAAAAGACTAGAAAGGCGCTATACAAGTACGGAGCATTCACTGGAGAATTGCTCTGGGCAGATAGTATGGCGGAGATCTCAACATTAAAAATTCCACATCTGTTAAACATTGTCCATCCACTTTGGCTGCATTTGTGCACTAAGCATAATTTGTGTAGACACTCAGTCCTCTTCCCCTCGTCTTACCGGACTGCAGAGTCCTGTCTGCCCGTAATACACTCCTCCCATCAAGTGTGACATCTTCTGGTACGCTGCTATGCAGGGGTTTCAGTAGAGATGAGCAGTCTCTGATATCCCGTTGATGAGCGAGCCTCCAGCGACCAGACATTAACAATTAGTAGGCTGGGGAGTGGGAAAGCCTGCTCTGACCATTGCCACTTGGTATATCGCTATTAATAAAACAAGAAGATCTAGACAGCCAATCTGTATTTAAACAGTTTTATTACACCATTTGTATTTCACTTGCTACATCTGGCATTCTATTGTTTTGGAGGATTTTGACAGAGTTACTGCACAAAAAAAATCAGCACACAGCTAAGCTCAAGCAGGGGCTTTTGTGAAACCAATTAGTCATAAAAAAAATATTAAAATCTTGAATAAAGATTTGAAGATAACCCCATGTACAAATACTGCCTAGTTGAAAGTCGGTATAATTACATTTGTCTCTTGGGTTTTTCTGGAGTTCTTTTTTTTTTTTTTAAAGTTGTCCCATCATATCTTCCAGGAGTAGTGTCAAGCCCACTGGTTCAGCAGCCAGCCATGACAGGAGGATTAGGTACTGGATCTCCCATCACTTTCCCAGAGGAGCAGGAAGATCCCAGAGTGTCTGGAGACATCAACACTGGTGGAGGCATATGGGGTTTTTTCAAGGTAATACTGCTCTAATCCAATGTAGTTTGACATCACTTTGCAAACATGGAATAAATAACTTCTTCAGCTGTTCAAGTGATGGCATTTTGTCACTCAGAGAGATCACTCCCACTGCCCCCTATAACATATCACATTATAGGTTTGGGTGTTACTGTGGGATTTTTTGACAATAAGACAAATATAGAATAACACAATAGCCCAACCAATTTTTTTAATAGTTACCAGGGTGTTGTGGCATACTGAGCCTGTATCTCTAGAGGGCAAAATGTTTTTTCTGACACTAAGGATGTAATTTGTACCTCAGACATTTTTTACCTTAGTTTGCTCCTGATTTAGGTAACTTTTAATTATTAGCACATAGTCATCTTTTAAAGCCTTTTTTGTTAAATGAATAAGAAAATCACTCTTAGACATGTGATGTGAACTGTGGCTTGAACAAAAATCTGAAATATGTAGTTTTTGTTTCTTTGTGTATAAATCTGAAACCACAAACACCAAACTACTGTTGGTGAACATGAGTGCATCTGTGAACATGTCCATTCAGTCAGTCTTTATGTCAAATACTATGTGTGTCCTCAGGGAGTAGCAGGTAACCCTGTTGTAAAGACAGTCCTGGACAAAACCAAGCACTCTGTAGAGTCCATGATCACCACTCTGGATCCTGGCATGGCTCCATACATCAGTAAGTCAACATGCTCTCTCCTTGTCACCTCATAATGAAAAAGGATGATTTAACCTTCAAAAGTCCTCAATAAATGTCCCTGTGTTGTTGTTCTTTAGAGTCTGGCGGAGACATTGACATTGTAGTGACTTCAGATAAGGAGACTAATGTGGAGGCAGTCAGAGATGCCTTCCAGGAGGTTTTTGGGATGGCCATGGTCACTGGAGAGCCTGGTCAATCTAACATTGCCCCACAGCCTGTCGGCTATGCAGCCGGTGTCAAGGTCAGTTCACTGCTGCATCTCCAACCTGCTTTTCAAATAGTTTTATTTTTCCTCAATTAAAGTAACAGAGAATGGCTGAACTACTGTATTAGACCTATACATTTTTACACAATCACGTTTCATCTTACTTTTTCTTCATATACATCAGTTCTGACCAAAACCCTCAGAACTGTTTCAACATGTGTGAAAGAAAATTTCTTCCCAAAGAAGTACGGAGTCAAAGATGTGATGAATCAATCCTTTATACGTCGCCACGGAGAGATGGACAAAGTGCTCTCTCGACATGCAGAATTTTTCCTCCTTAAATACCCTTAAAGACACAACAGCAAATGTTAATTACAGACAAATGGCAGTTACATCTGAAGTTCTAGCATCCCGAGATGACAAAGAGAGTTTGGAAATGTATTTATATTGCACCTAAGCTACATGTCTGAAGAATTTCTATTGTAAACATGGCGCTTCAATCAACAAAATAAACAAAATGTTAATCTTTTGGCTTACTTTGAAGATGTTACAACATTGTAACCGCAACCTATTTCCTAAAATTAAATACAGTGAATACTAATAGTATAAAAAATCTACAATTTAAAATGTATTTCTCACGTTTTAAAGCCAATTTCTGATAGTGTTACATGACTTTCCAATTCTGTGAGAAAAGGCCATGAGCACTAGGGAAAACAAAAGTATTGTTAAAGCTGTAGTGCAGGATTTTTACATATTAATAAACATGTTATATGCCAAACGAGTTCACACAAAGTTCAATTTAATTTTATTTAAATAGCGCCACTTCATAAAAGAAGTTCTCATTGCACTTTTCATAGAGCAGGCCTAGACTGTACTTTGTATTATTAAAATCAGAGACCCGACAGTTCCCACCATAATCAGGCACTTGGTGACAGTGGCAAATAAATAAATAATAAATAGGACTTAAACCAGCTTAGTGCGGTTCTTTTAAGGCTAATTAAATGTTCAAATCTCTATAATAGGTTGTGATGTGGTGTCAAATATAGCACTAAGATCTAAAAAGACAAGTACAGAGAAAAATCCTTTGTCTGATGCAATCAGATGAAGATCATTAGTATTTTTCACCAGTGCTGTCTCTGTGCTAATATGCACTCAAAATCCTGACAGAAAATCCTCAAACTATTGCCACGTAGAATATGGATTTAACCAGTGCTCAATTTGTGCCAGTACCCCTGAGTTTAAGCCTTATCGTGCTTTCAAACAAACCGCAGATTTTCGCCTCGCGACGCTTTCCTCGACTGAGTACATTCACTTCAAGTGGTCACACAAAACGCGAGAAGGCGATTTTAACATGAATAAACACAACTCGCCATTGCTACAACTGTATGAACCCAAAGTAAACATTTTGCTGTGATTAAATAGCAATAAACAGATTAAACTGATGCCGAAATAACAACAATATAATGCAGATTTGTTAAACATGAATTCATGCTTTGTCAGGTCTGTCAGCAAGACAGCAGGACAACAACTTCTAAAATGTTTTTTCCGGAATGGAGTATGGATCGATCGGGGCTATGGGTCACAGTAAAGTACAGTGATAGCTGGAATAAAGTTACAGACACGTTTTCTGAACTCACCAGGTAGTTCAACCTCCTCGCTTTCTTTTCTCCAAGTAATGTCCAGTTTTGTCCAGTTTTTATATAAATATGAAATATGATATAATATGAAACAAACAATGTGGAATTTGGAAAAAGTTTCTTTGATCTTCATGAGATTTGGTGGGATTATTGCTCTTATTTCAAAGTCCACATTTGAGAGATGAGATTTTGCTCAACAGGAAATCAGCCATTTTGCACTTCCTCGTCATTTTCAATATTTTTAACAGGTGTTTGAGGCCTTTAGGAGGGGGGGGAGAGAGAGGTAAGGAGAGAGAGAGAGGTGGAGGTAGAGAGAGGTAAGGAGAGAGAGAGAGGTGGAGGTAGAGAGAGGTAAGGAGAGAGAGAGAGGTGGAGGTAGAGAGAGGTAAGGAGAGAGAGAGAGGTGGAGGTAGAGAGAGGTAAGGAGAGAGAGAGAGGTGGAGGTAGAGAGAGGTAAGGAGAGAGAGAGATGTAAGGAGAGAGAGAGGGGAGGGAGGCAGCCTACACAATATACACACAGAGGTACACACAGTGAAGGTAATGTTGCTATAGACTAAATGAAAAATGGTACAGATATTTATAATAGTGTTAATTTTTAGTCTTCACATTGCTTGGAATGCTATTGTTTTTTATTGGCTGATATGGTTTGGGGGCATGGTTGTGGAAGATTGGCTCAATAGCACCCCCTGCAAAATGTCAACAAAGCAGCCCCCGCCGTATTTTTTGCCTAGCTGTACAAAATATGGGGGGGCGATGTATCATCTCTAGACTAGAATAAACCTCTTGGAGCCATACCCTAAAACCAAAAGGAAGTCGGCCATTTTTAATAATTTACAAGATCTTTCCCCGTTTACAGGCGGAAATCTCTGCTGTGCCTTCTAAAGGCATTGACGATGAACAGTTGTGCTATCTGTGAGTTTTCGTCAATGGGCGTGCCCATGGCATCCAGAATCGAAGATTTGGTCGCTTTGACAAGCGAAAAGTTTAAGTCGATGGGACGAATTCCCTAGGAGGAGTTCGTTAAAGTACAAAGTGTGTAAATCACCCAAAATTAAATCCATAAAATTAAATCCAAAATGGCTTCCTGTTGGGTTTAGGCAATGGCTCCAAGAGGCTTTTTTGTACGTCTGGATACACGTACCACAGAAATTTTGTACGCGTAGGTTAAACCTAGTCTGGGGGCTGCTCTGTAGGGGGCGCTAACGAGCCATTTTGCCACCCCATGCGCGAAACCCATAAAATACGAAATTTTTCGCCGTGTCTGAATTTTGTGCAAAGTTGTATGTTTAGGCCCCCAAAATTGAGGTTACTTTGCAAAAAAAGAAAGAAAGATGCGAGCTAACAGCTTTCGCGCTCAGGCCCTAAAAATATAGCAGCAAGTGGCGATTCCCAGGTTCAAACCTTTTTTAATTCAGTTAAATATTAAAGCAGGAATCAGTGTTGGACGGGCCCTCGCACGTGAAGCGCGACAGGTAGTGTTGTTCTGAAGTGTCACGCACTTTTTTTCAAGAACGTTAAGGCTGTCAAAAATGAAAGGTATTTGCAGAACCATTTCTTCAGTTCAGTATCGAAGTCAACATGTCATACCCTGCACTTGAACCACCGATCTTGAGGTTGGCAGGGCAAGCACATTTTACCACTGCACTACTGAGACACACTGGTTCAATACTGATTTCAGCTTTCTTTGTTGGTGTTTCAGAGGCATTTCATGTACATGAAAACCAGAGCAAATAGAGGGCGCTCAATGACCAAACATTCGTGGCACACCAGTTTCAGGAACGTGACACTTCAGAGCAACACTACTTGTGATGCTTCACATGCAAGGGCCCGTCCAGCGCTGATTTATTTGAAGTCCAGTCCACTGTTGTCGAAAAAAAATTTATTCTATCTATTTTAAGGAAACATTGATATCCAGGTTAACATGATTGCATTTAGAAAGACTATGATACAAATTTAAAAACACCACAGCAAGTCAGTGTGAACTGAATGCATGTTATGCTTCAAAGCACCAATAGAGGGCAATCTATGACCACAAATGTGTGGCAGAGCACTGTTTTGATTGCGCTTATATTTTCTGTGACGTATTAAGTCCAGTGTTGCAAAATAACATGAAGACACAGAAAGCGACTGTTATTCCATATATACAATTACTTCATTTTGAAAGACTAACAACATACACATTTAAAACCGACCACTACAAGACAGTCTCCACACAGGTGTTTGAAGTTGGAAGCATTTATCAATGCTGCCAGAGGTGGGATTTGAACCTGGGTCTGAACAAAGATGCTTGAGAAACGAGTGCTCTGATCAAGCGAGCTATAGAGGTACACATCTGAAGAAGCCACAATTTGATCATTTGTTGATGGTAAAGTGCATTCATGGCCTGCAGTCTAACCAACTGCACCACCAGCAAGCTTGCTCGTATTGAGGTGATGTGATCCTTTGTTGATGCAAAAAGTGTATTTGCTTAAAAGCTATAATTTTGGACTTTAGTTAGTGCTTGAGTAGCTGAGCATAAAAATATACATCTTGTGTCCAAACTCCAAACAGGGAGGATGATACAGCAAGATAAAGAATTAGTGACAAGGAGAGATGACTAAGACTTTCCAATCAATTAAGGATCAGAGATAAAAAAACTAAACGTCCACTGAGCAGGATTTTGACATTTTGAGGGAGAAAATGCATTTGGCTACATTTTGGTACCTTTTTTTGTGCTTATGGAGATAAATATACAGGACTGGCAGCAGTTTACAAAAAAAATTCTGGTCTGCCAAATCCTCCTCTCCCCACGCTAATGTGATCACATGACACGTTCTAAAGTCTGCTAGAAGCTGTAAAACCCTTCACTTTGGAAGGGCATAGCTCCTAAACATTTTTTTAGCAAACGCCAAATTCAACTTTGAAAGATCAACATCTTTTCTGCAACCTACAGCTCAAATGAGTCTGTAGCTGCACATATGCCGGAGCATTTAGCTCTTAAAGTTGAGTAGGTTGGTAGAAAGTTCTCCCATTGAAACCCATTCATTTTTTTGCACATAAATAAATAAATATATATATATATAAAAAATCAACCATTACAGATAATAGCATAAATCTCCTGAACAGGATGTACATTTTGAAGTTGGAACGAAGTTTCTAGGACAAACGGTGAAGATAGACGCCGAAAATGGGGTTATGTGTGTGTGTTTAAAAAATAAAATTATATTAAAAATAAAATAAAGAAGTAAGCGTGTGTGTGTGTGTGTGTGTGTGTGTATGTATGTATGTATGTATGTATAAAAATAAATAAATAAAACAGTAAGCGTGTGTGTAAACAAAACAAAAAAAATATATATATATACAAAAAAAAAATTGATTAAAAAATAATTTTTAAAAAGAAGAAATCAGTATCAAATGTAA